CCCAGTCGTCCATCCCTCCACAAATTGTTTATAATCACAATCAGCAGTGCACCAAATCGTTTCTCGATACAAAGTTTTGCCACAAATGTGGCAATTAAATTGTACGCTACTCATTTTGAAGCGACGTGTCTCGGTAGTCAACTCGTTGCTGTTGTTTATAACTAACAGTATTCATAGAGCGCAACTTGGCAGTTGTTTATAACCAACAATATTCATAGTGCGCAGCTTTGCAGTTCTTGTTTATGTTGCTGAAACCTGTAATTTAACAGTGAACCCGGATATAGTAGTAGTAGTAATATTTATCACCATTTCGAAATGATCAGCAAAGGGGATGATTACAATGCAATTCCAAGTATTTTCGTTGTATTTGTCTGAGAACACGGGCACGATGGAGGGCTTGCGTTAAAGAGCGGTGTACAGGTAATTTCATTAAGAAATCTGTTATGGTTGCAGGACAGTAAGGGATGTCTGACGCTGAGATTATGTTTGGGCATCGAAAGATGATGTTTCGTAAAGTATGATGAACTTTTTGTTGATTCTTCACTTTAGTGAAAAAGCTGCATGTATTTCAATGGGCATTGTATTTGGATGAATTAATTATTGAAGTGGAGCGAAGAGTTGGGAAGACTGTTTCTGTATCAAACCTGTGACAATATCCGGAATAATTCATTTTTCTTGGATTTTATCAAATTCTTGCGCGCGTGCGAGATTGGAATTGATTGTCTGATACTAGCATAATGTTTGATCGGATAGCAAGGAGACCAGTTTCGAAATGTTCTTGTGAGCAATATACACGCCAATACTTATACTTTGAACAGCATGCGACGGGCTTCATCGGTCATTGTGTATTCGTTTTCATGTGATGTTTTCTCCCGCTATAATTGGCTTGTGAAGTGACATCTAAACTAAACGGGCATGTATTATTATTTAAGACATATCGATATATCAAGTTATATTCAACTTCAGATATTTCCCCAAAAGCCTCCATCCTGACTGCATTTGCACTAGATGTTCAATCAACTCTTTTTTTAAAGGAAGGCATAGGATGATTGGCTGATAAGAGCGCAGAGAACATTCAATGACTCTATTTGCTCACCAATAAGCGTCTTTTGGTGAGATTATTTTCCAATTAAATATAGTAGAATGGTCTTTTTATTTGCAGCCCTCTCTTAGGAGCTGGCACATTTATATTTTTTTTTATCAATTACTAAATTTACATTTTTTACTGAACATTGGTCTGAGCGAAGGACCATTTTAGCTAAAGGATGACTTGACATTTAATAAGTGAGCTTATTGCCGAATTACAAGTTTCTGCAACCATTAATTTCGTAATTAGACGGACTTTATAACATTTAACGTCGTATTGCACCCCAAGTAAAATAAAAGTGACGAAAAGTTTTCAAGCCGTATCATCACGCAATTTCGAATTAAAGTAGGCTACAATGTATATGTGCAAAGCATGTTTATATTATCAATGTCGCGCTTCACAACAAAAACTTCTCGTGATGTCACGTGAATGATTACATGGACAGCATTTGTTTCCTAAAGGTAAACGATGCGATATACAGGTCAATTACTTTGGCTGCTCTCAAATTGCAACCCATAATTTGTACACGTTACAGTCCCAAATCATCGTTGGATGGCTGTTTAATTATATACAGAAACATAGAAGTTCAACATACAGTCTTTATTCGTCAAGTGCGGATTGAAACACAAACTAAATTTAGCAAATGCAAATAATCGACGTTTTTCTCGCGTTATCAGCTTTATTAGTTTTGAACATGGTTTTCGTCGTGTTCGTTTTCACCTGCGAGTGAAAAAAAAAAACATTTAATGTGTTATCATTCTCATTTTTCCCTCCCTCGCCCTTCACACACTTTTATACAATGTACCTTTCTTACTCTTCTTGGGCAAAAGATCAGAATGAATATTAGGCAGCACTCCTCCCTGAGCTATAGTCACACGTCCAAGCAACTTGTTCAATTCTTCATCGTTCCTAATGGCCAGTTGCAAATGTCGTGGATTGATCCTCATTTTTTTATTATCCCTTGCTGCATTACCCGCGAGTTCAAGTATTTCGGCAGTGAGGTATTCGAGCACAGCAGCTAGATAAACGGGCGCGCCTGAGCCTACACGATCAGCATAGTGCCCACGGCGAAGAAGACGGTGAAGGCGACCAACTGGGAATTGAAGACCAGCCTGATCTCGTTGAAGAAGATAAGAAAAGAAAAATCATGATATGTCAATACCCATAGA